AGGACCTTAAAAGTAGGGGTAGAGAACTTTACAGAGCACCTCATGCTGAAGTTTAGTTGTTCGGCTTTGACTTAGCATATTATGTGCACCCAACTACAGTTGCTTGTAAAGCAGAGTTTATGGATCCATATAATATGTGGAATTAGCCAATTACAGCTTATTCAACAAACCAGAGAGAAGGAAACCATAACTCATGAGTGAGCCCAGCCAGTGTGTCCTATGGTGCAAGTCTCTTAATAACTGCATTCCTGTTGTCTCTAGAGAATTAGAGACTATGACTTTTATGACAGATGTTCTGAGTCTGATCCCTTCACATATGGACACTATGGCAGTGCTGCCTGGGGAGGATGAAAATTGTAGTCAAACACATCTGGGGACTAGACTTAAAGAAGGCTGCAATTCTAACAGCAAGCAAAACGTAATCTGTATATGTGTGTGTGCACGCACGTGTGCATGCTGACAAAAGTAGGAGCAACACAAAAATACAGCAAACCAAGCCCAGGCAACATTGCTTGAAAGGTAGGAGATTATAAAAATGCCCTTACTTGGTGTTGAAATAACTGCAAAGTAAGTGCCAGCTGAGTCAGTCAATTAAGAGTATCCTTAACCCAACAAGTGGCACCTTCAGAACTAAGTATTCTCCAAAATGCATGTACTTCATCTCCCAGAATTCTTAGCAAGGGCAATGCTGGCTAAAGGAATTCTGGGGAGTCAAATTTCACATCAGAAGGGCATCCAGGTTGGAGGAGGTTCCAGTGTCTTTTGTTGGGGAGCAACTGCCAGACAGGGCTATTGCTCTTAAATCCTTCTTATTGGATCTCAGAGATACCTGCCAGTTGTACAACATGAGAAGAGATATTGATCAGATCCAGGAGAGCTCTTAAAATGGGCTTTGGAGCACATACCCCCATGTACCCCGCCTGGCAGATTCTCTAAAGTTTTAAGAGGAGATTCTTGCCTGTGGATCAGACCTGCTTCTACATAGAACTGTTTTTCATTCTCTCACCTCATTCTGGATCATGAGTGGACGGTTCATTCTCAGCTTCTCCACAAATGAAAAGACACCAATCTCTCCCTGGTCCTGGGCTTGGCACAGTAGTGAGTCTAGAGAAATAAATGTCCCTGTCCGGCCCACACCAGCACTGGAGAGGTGGAAGAATGAAAGAAGAGGCAGTCAGACACGGACAACCACCTGTGTCCTAGCTGGGTGTGGAGACTAAGGGAGCTGTCCTTGACAGAAGCATGCAAGAACTGCTACATAAGCAAGGAGGGCTGAAATAATCCTGAGAAGCAGGATAGTATTTGAAAGGGACCCAGGCTGGCTTCTCCCTGATTCACTGGAGTATAAGAAGGAAGCAAAGTAAAGCACAGTCAGGCTTGCAAGATTCTGTTATTAGAGCCTACCTCAATAAAGTATAGCTCTAGTTTTCTGTGGAACTGATTTTCTAACCTGGTCTACCTAATGGGGCTGTCACCATGGGAGATATGCCTGATTATTATTCAGCCTGGGGCCCTCTAGATGTCTTGAACTTCAACACCTATCATCTCCAGCCAGCATGACCCATGACCTCCTTGGTGTCTGTGGTTTGGGGCACTTCATGATCTGGCCATGATGTGTAGTGATAATGTCTAGCACGACGGACTTCAGACATGCTCATCTGTTGAGAAACACATAATTCAGATATTCCCAACACCAAGACACAAATTTGGGGGCATATAATTTGTTCTGTACTTGGGAATACTTGATATTCGCCCATGCCTGGGTGAATTTATTGGAAGGGGAAGGGAGATTAAAGACAAGAAGTGCTTCAGTTGAGAAGATCCTGCTCAACATTGCCAGCTGGTTCAGAAGGTGGGGACACTCCGAGCAGACCCATTGAAGATCTCAGTAGTGAGTGTCCCATCTCCCCTTGATTCTTTCTTGTCCCAGGCCTTTCCATTCCCATTTGATGTACCTGCAGTGAACCAGAACTGGCCCATTATCCTTCATTTTATCTAAGTGCTCCCTGACAAGATCTCGAAAATGAAGAATGGTGTCTGTGGTTTGGGGCACTCCATGATCTGGCCATGATGTGTAGTGATAATGTCTAGCACGACGGACTTCAGACATGCTCATCTGTTGAGAAACACATAATTCAGATATTCCCAACACCAAGACACAAATTTGGGGGCATATAATTTGGTCTGTACTTGGGGATACCATGCCTACTTCCCCTTCTTTTCCCCTGTATCCCTTTTTGAGTCCCTTAGAGTGTACTTGCTATTAAAGGGAATGATGCATTTTTCCTTGTGATGGCTATGTGGAAGTCACTTTAAAAGTGATTGATCCATGTAGCAGCTGTTATTGTATTTTAAGCTCAGAAGGAGAAGGTAACCTCAATTCTCAATTGCTCACCCGCTTGATACTAAAGTCCCGGATGGTCCAATCAGGGAAAATGGTTTCTGTGATAACAGATACAGTAATATCATCATAGGTGCAGGGTGTGTAGTCCAAGGGCCAGTAGCGTTCACATTTCACCTGGCCAACAGAAAATTTGGAATACAGGACATTTAATAGAATTTGTAGCGCTGGGATCAAGTGGTACAGTTATTAGATGTCTCTCAAGTTTTGATTGTGCAATAACAAGTCAAAACCCTTTAAAACCCAGCATTACAGCACCTGCTGTTCAAGGGCATCCTTGATGCTGAAACAAAGGACCATTCTCACCCGTCCATTCTCAATGTAGTTGGTGAGC